ATCTAAACATGATTGTTACATTGATATGAAAGTTCTTGTAAAACATGGGAAGTTTGTAGCTTAATATGCCTAAAGCATATGATTCATGAAGCTTGCTCATATTTAAAGTATAAAATGAAGTTTCAAATGTTTAAAGAATATAACTCAACAGTATGAGTGATATTTTAGTATTAATTAATGTAAAAGAATAAATGTGATACAATTATCATAATGAATTCCTTCTTAAAGAATGGATAGAAAAATACCACACTATTCCTTACATTTTAACTAAGAGATTAAAATGAAATTGCTATTATTACAAAATATGTTAAGCAAATATATGTTTAATTCTATTCTACTGACTTAAAGTCATGTGCATAACAAAATCTTACCAATGGGCTTTCAGAAATATGCTATGTCAGAGCACATATATTATTAGCAAAATATATTAATGCATTAATTAATTGCAATCAAATATGGTGCCTTATGACAAAAAATCTTCTTTTCACTAAAAATTCTTATCTTTTATGTCGAGGAATCAAACCACTATTGGTCATAAGCTTTATGAGTGTTGAGATGTTTTAAAATTTTTTATTCAAAGTTTGATTAATAATAAAAATCAAACTTTATAAGTGTTTGATCTGTAAGTTAAGTCATAATTTTATTATTTTAAAATATTTCATCTCTCATAATCACTTTTTAAAACATGTTATTATTTTATAACTCTTTAAGATTTTAATAATATTTAAATAAATAATGATTGCAAATATTTCAGTCACTGTGGTATCCTCATTCATAAATAATTAAAGAATACTTGTACTCTTTAAGAATATTTATTGAGTAAATCTTAGATCTAGCATGTATAATAAGAATGTGACATATTTTAATAGATGGTTATATTAAAGGAGATAAAATCAATGTATATTTTACTAAAATTTTTCTCCACATTCTAAGTCCTGAAGTGAAATAAAAGAATAATCCATCAAACCTGTTAAGGTGAGAATCCAGTCTGTTTACCACTAAGCATGAGCATGACATTCTTTCATTAAAACCTTACATATTAGGACACAACTTAAAAGAAAACTTTAAAAAAGTCGTCATTTGTGAACTACAACTTAAGGTATGTTTGAATTAGTTATTGAAATATGATTAATACCAACAAAAATTTAGTTGAGTTAATACCCATTAAATTAAAAATTTTCTCTATATTATTAAATAGTTAACCATTCAATATATTAAAAAAATTAATTATCAATATTTAATAATTCATAATAATTATTATTTATAATGCAAAGATATCTAATTCTCTTATTAGAGCCAAAAATTAAAAACTATTTTTAAAACTGTTAAACAAACAGTAAGTACAAATTCAAGTTTATGGTTGTGGGTTCAACCAAAGACAATTTTGGGACCCAAATAAAATAATGCACGAGGAATGAGGATAATAGGAAATTGACTAGGGGACTTATTTGGACCGAATAGAAAGAACAAGGATTCAATTTTGATAAAATATTAGTTTGGGACTAAATGTAAAGTACGTCCCAAAGTAGGCAAAATTCTCACTTTCGCCTTCGTTAAGCTGTTGAAGAAGAGACCTAAAACCCTAACAACAGGTTTTAGCAAAACCATCGCTGTATCCCATGGAGGTCAATTTAGGGGAAATTCCCTTCGGCGTCGATTTTCATCCTTCGAATCCGCTCGTCGCCGTTGCCCTCATCACCGGCGACCTGCAGCTGTAAGTTTTTTTTTTTTTTTTTCTTCTACCCTTTCATTTTCGTTTTAAATTGTTCATTTTCTTGTGTAATTATTGAAATTCGATCATTGGTTAAGTTAAGCATTATTATTATTATTTTATTATTATTTGCAGATATCGATATAATAGCAATGATTCCTCGCTTCAAAGGTTTGAATTCGAAGCTTTTCATTTGCTAATTCTTAGCTTAACTGTGTCAAATTTCTAAAGATTGTTTTGATTTTCAAAGGTTGCTGGATGTTAATGCACACAGTGAGTCTTGCAGAAGTGTTAGGTTCATCAATGGTGGACAAGGTGCTGAATATTTCCTCTGTGTGTAATGGTTTTTCTGCAGTTTTGTTTCATTTGTTGTCTGCATGGTTATTGTTTTTCTAACAAATATGTTGGTTGATTTTCAAAAGAAAGAAGAGGGTATCATGTTTAATGCTTGGTTCATGGTGGCTTTGATTTCAGCTGTTGCCACCGGTTCAAAGGATTGCTCCATTTTGGCAACAGATGTGGAAACTGGTGCGACTATTGCACGTCTTGAAAATGCCCATGAGTGAGTGCATGTCTTGTCCTTCTATCTCTTTGCAAATGTATTTTATTGAAAATGCTGCCTAATGGTTTACTTTGTGCTCCTGTAGGAATGCCATCTATAGATTGACCAACCTCACAGAGTCTACGATTGCCTCTGGAGATGATGAAGGCTGTATAAAGGTGTTCTCTGCTTGATTCTTTCAATACTCTCCCCTGTTTATATAGTTGTTAGCATTTTGCATGGATGTTATGTCCTAGAATTTAAGTGCTTAATCTTCTTCTTCTCTTGTAGGTATGGGATACCAGGCAACGATCCTGCTGCAATTCTTTCAATGCTCATGAAGACTATGTTTCAGATATGGCTTTCGTATCTGGTTCCATGAAACTGTTAGGAACAAGGTATCTAGCCCTCTTAACTGTTTTCCCAGTTTAGTACTTCACTGAGATTTTTGTGGTGGAGGTTGGTGTTATTTAAGTCTCGTTTACAAATATGTCTTTCCCTGGGTGCTGAACCAAAAAGAAAAGGAAAAGCCAATAATTGACTACTGAACTTGTAATCAGACAGACTTGAAGTCCACTGCAGTAACTCTTGATTGTGTAGTATTTTAGGATCTACACAAATATAGCTCATTTGTTGATTACAAGAACTTTTCTTTACCCCCTGTTGAAGACTGATAACACATGCTAGAAATATTCGAAAATTTCAAAAAATGAATAAATAAGGAACTGCTAATTAATTTATGAGAAAATAAAATTTGTTTCTTTGGATGTTAGGGCAACTGGACAAGATGATCTTTTCTAAGTCCTTCTGTAAACCATTCACTCTTCCATTTTGTTCTATCTTATGTTTTGATATCACTGATTATGATCATGCATGCAAAAGCTCATTGCATCATATGCAGTTTCTTTCGTCATTTGCCATATTTCTATTGTGACATTGGACTATTTTTAACTGCAATTTCCTCTTAATAACTTCTAAAGCAAGACTCTATTATGTCTTTCATTTGCATGGTTCAGTGGAGATGGGACTCTATCTGTTTGCAATCTTTGGTCAAATAAAGTAAGCTTTTATTTGAAATTGCATAAAATTTTTAATGGAAGATGCTTGCTATTTGAAATTCTTTTCAGACTGATGACATTTTAAATTTTACTGTTATTGATAGGTTCAAACTCGGTCTGAGTTTTCTGAGGAAGAGCTTACGTCAGTTGTTGTTATGAAGGTATTGTTGATTCAATGGTCAGATTGTTTTATTTCCTATTTCTTATGGTTGCACTACTTAGCATCTAAAGCATGTAACCTTTTGTACATGCAAATGGAAGATATATTTTATCTGATTGTCAAAATATCCAGCAGCTTAACCAATTTATTTTATTTTCACAGAATATATTGATAATCAATTTTGTAGCTAGTGGCAGTTGCATTTCTTTTCACTAAATTTCTATATTGTTAAGTGTTTTTTTTTTTCTTTTTTTCTTTTTTTGGCTTTTTTGGTATGTTAAATGATGGGCTATATAACAAGGGACAGCACTCCCCTTCCTACCCATCCTAGGACTAGAACTTGAGACCTCCAACATGGAGGCTCAAGCTTTTAACCGCTAGGATGTCCCCTAGAGGATATATTAGAATCATTATGATTGAGTAGGGAAGGCATTTACTTTGAATGAAGAAAATGATTATTCTACTGATGCTGAATTCTCCTATTATTTTTTCCGGAACAGCTGTACAGCCTGTACTAGAATTCTTATCTTAAGATGAGGAGAGCTCTTCCTTTCTAAGAGAATCTACAACCTCTATTCATCAGAAGTATCTTTTGAAAATCCCCTTTTACATCTAAGATATCTCTGAAAACTAAACTAATTAGTGACTGTAATAAATGTGCGTGGAATATACTTTCTATAAACTGCCTTCACCAATTCATGTCTTCATTGTGTATCCTGCTCTTCCTGTGGACAGAATGATCGAAAAGTCATCTGTGGATCACAAAGTGGAACTTTGCTCATATATTCATGGGGTTTTTTCAAGGATTGCAGGTATTCTGTGCTAAATATATTGTTTATATTGATATGTTTTTGGGTATGGATTTTTTGTTTGCTTATGTCTTTTGGATCTTTTGTTTGGATTTTTAGTGATCGTTTTGTTGATCTCTCACCAAATTCTGTTGAGGTTTTGTTGAAGGTAAGTCTCATAATTATTTTAGCAATATTTTGGGATGAACTTATCCATGAGCATACCTTATAAAGACAATTAAGACTTTTCATGCCAGCTTGATGAAGACAGGATTATTACAGGATCAGAGAATGGACTTATCAGGTAAGATGATGTGCTTGGTAGGAGTGGATTATCATATTTATTTAGATGTGGATTTTTTCTTTCAACCATCTCTAACTTTTGTTTAATTCCTTTGCATTCTCCAGCTTGATAGGAATATTGCCAAATAGAATCATACAACCTATTGCAGAGCATTCGGATTACCCGATAGAGGGCCTTGGTATCATAGTCCTTTCCATCATATAAAAAATTTGAGTCCAACTACTCTCTTGGATAAAAGATTTTAACTATTGTTTTTTTTTTTTCTTTGGCCTTTAGCTTTTTCTCACGACAGAAAGTTTCTTGGTAGTATATCACATGATCAGCTGTTGAAGGTGCATCTCCTTTTTCTCTCTTACTCATAGCCACTAAACTTAAATCTTCGTCCCTTCCCCACATACAAAATAAAGGAAAAACCAAATGCAGTTGTGGGATAACTCCATTCTTTGATTTCTGTAACACAGTTGTGGGATTTGGATGACATTCTGCAAGGCTCTACAAATAACCAAAATGTTCAAGCAGAAATTGCAGACGGTGACAGTGATGGAATGGATGTCGATAATAATAACCCTCCTCAATCTAAGAAAAGTAGGTTACTTCCCATCTTTCTCTTTCATTTCTTCAATTACAATTCTCTCTACACACTGGACAGCTGATGCATAATTTTGCATCATTATACAAACCTTGTTCTGAAACCATCCTATTCTGCAGGGACCAAGGTCAAAAATGCAAGCAGTTCAAATAATTTCTTTGCAGATCTATAGATGAATTGTATCAGTTTACAAAATTTTGTCTTTCAAAGAGACTAGATGATGATCAAAGGCTTGCATTTTTCTTGAGAAGAATGATGCCCTGACATCATTTTCTTGGTTTGTTATAATACATGTTTTGTTTCCAGCTTGCACGCAGTTGTGAGGGTTTGCAGTCTAGATGTGAATTAATTCTTTGAGAAGATAATCGGGGATCTGAATTTTTGTTTACCCTTTTCTTGGTGCCATGCCATGGAATGTTTGAAGCATTCATTTTTTTTTATTCCCATTTTTTTACCATCATTTGAAAACAATATTTCTCCATTTTTTTATGGGGCCGAACAAGTCATTTCGGTTTAAGATGCTAATCTTTTCACTGAAAATGTTAATAATAGTTTCCAACCTTTTTTTTTTTTCTTTAATTTATGAATTATTTCCAACATATTAATAAATTATAACTCATTTGTTCGACATTCAAAATTAACATGCTTTGTGGTTAAACAATAATATATCAAAAAATTCAAAAAAATTACAATTAAATTCATGAAAATATGTTAATTAATTAATTTGTCCTTAATCTTCTTTTTTGGGCATCTAAAATCTTATTTTAATATTTTTGATCCCATAATAAAGTATAAAATTTCCTTAATTTTTCCTTTCTAGCTTTCTCTTCCCGCCACTGAGCCAAACGACACACCCTTTACTAGCCCAAAGGCCAAAACGACAAGTAATTCACACCTTTCCCGCGAGCGCTCAAATTCTCGTGCCACGTTGGCAATCCTCGTGACGCTCCAGTCCACCAATCAGAGCACACCATTATTTTCTCTATAAATCTCGCAAGTCGCAACCCCACAACATCATATTTCGCCGAACGAGTCTCCGGAACATTGTTCTCGGTTCGGAAATTGCACTTCTTTCTGTCGCTCTGGATCGGAAGTTAGGGTTAGGGTTTCTTGGATTTATTTGTGAGAGAAAATGAGTTCTACCGGTGGATCCACGAAGGGAGGAAGGGGGAAGCCGAAGGCTTCGAAATCCACATCGAGATCGCAGAAGGCTGGCCTACAGTTTCCGGTGGGGAGGATCGCGAGGTTCTTGAAGGCTGGGAAGTACGCCGAGCGTGTTGGTGCGGGAGCTCCTGTCTATCTCTCCGCCGTGCTCGAGTACCTTGCTGCGGAGGTGGGTTTTAATTTTTAGAACTTCTGTTGATAGTAGTGTTCCTTCTCGGTTTGTTATTGGCTTTATCGATAAATTGATTTAGGTTTTTGAATCTTTATTTGATTTTGGGGAAATTGGGTCTTTGCTTCTGTGGCTTCTTTAATGATTTGTATTTTCCTCTCGCTCTGATATGTGATGTGTAATTTTCTGGGGATTGATTTAGGTCTTAGAACTTGCTGGAAATGCTGCGAGAGATAATAAAAAGAGCAGGATTGTACCTAGACACATTCAGCTTGCGGTGAGGAATGATGAGGAGCTGAGCAAGCTTCTTGGCTCTGTTACCATTGCTAATGGTGGTGTTTTGCCTAACATCCACCAGAACCTTCTCCCCAGTAAGATCGGTAAGGGTGGCAAGGGTGATATTGGGTCTGCTTCCCAGGAGTTCTAGGTTTTCTCAGCAAATTTTCTCACAGTTGTAAAATTCTAGGCCTTTTAAAAAGTTTTGCATCCTCAAGTCCCATGCGGGCTTTTGTATCAATCTAAATCAAATTTCATGGTTCATGCTTTTCAAATCTCTGCAATCATCTTTCGTTCTTCCCCTGATTTTGATTTTGATTTTTTATCAATTGAAATTTACTTATGAATGAGCAAAAATCTGATGTAAGATAAGATCTTATTATGTTATGTGCCAATTTTCATGTTTATTGGATTGGAAATCCAAACTCTGCAAGGATAATCCATTTTTATCATTGGGATTGTTGGTATCGTCGTTATTAGAATGCTTGTTACCTGTGTTGAGTTTGCAAATACAAACAATGAGTTAAATTTCTAAAAGAGAGCAGAGCATGGTGCAGTGCTCTCATGGAAAAAATTGCACAAAGCTTCTGCATAAAGTTGCAGAATCAGTTTCTCATCTAAACCTTCCCAATCCCAAATGAACCATTTCTCTACTGTGTCAATGCAGTTGCCTCTTGATTAATGCCATTGCCTCTGCCTAAACAATGCGCAGTATTCCAAGCTTCTGAAGTGCTCAGCTCAGCTCATCAGGGAGTTTGCTTTAGCTTTACAATCACTGTGGCCTGTTAAAGAATCCGAATCGGCCAATTTGCCCCTTGCAATATCATTACTAGTAGTACATCAAAATATCGTTTGATCATTCGTTGGAATGAAGGCCCTTAAGTATTCAAAGTCTTGATGCTCTCTGCCTGTTAGCCACATGAAAAATGCAAGCATATATATTTTGATAGTCATTTATATCTCCATCCCTAATATTGATTCTTTGAAGTAATTCTTCTTTGGTATTTCCAAATAAGCCCATGGGGTGATAGGAAATCCCTTTTCTTTAAATTCAAGAAATTGGGAGAATTAAGGTTGTAACGTTGTGTTCCTCTAACAACTACCAAAAACTCCATTGAATATTGCTTCCCACCAACTCTCTCGGTCTCTCCCTCCTTTCACATATACAAGCACATTCTAGTTGGGATATCATAGAAAAAAATACATTGTTCTTCTAGATGTAAATATGTCTTACCTTCATAGTTTGAAATGGGTTCTAAATGCTTCACTTTGTAGGTTGAAATGTAGGAATTTAATGACCGTATAATATGTTGAACCTTTATGGGACAAGACAACTTAGTCGTGCAAATCCATGTGCTCTATATTCTGTTTCAACGTATAAAAAACGAGTAAAATTTCTTTCAGATTGAGCCACTAAACAATGAGAAGCAATGATGGTGAAAAGATGGAATTGTGGGATGGGAAGAGTGAGAAGAGAAGGGGAAAATGATGAAAAGTTTTTTACAACGGAATGAATCTGCTTCATAATTTTTGAAATTGAAAAGCAATCCCCGTGTGAAGCAGGTTTTCG